ACTAAGTCTATGCTAAACTCAATCTCTCTCTCAGGTGGTAAACTAGACACATCCTTAGGAAATACTTCTAGAAATTCTCTCACTAAGGGAATCTCATCTAGCTTACTATCAGTCTCAAGTGTTAAGGAAGCGAAGATCATGTACACTCTTTCATTTTCTTTTAAACAAGTTTTAATGTCGGCAACGCTAAGAAATTTCGTACTCTTACATTCACCAAAGGAAATAGATTTATAAAAGCAGTTTAAGAGGACATGGTGGGAAGATAATCAATCCATACCAAGAATTACATCTAATTGACTAAGAGGCAAACAAATTAAGTCAACTAGAAACTGCTTATCAAAAACTGTCAAAGGACATTTCAAACACACTAGGGATGTAGTCACGTGACCATTAGTAGGGTTTCAACAACTAAATCAAAATCTAACAAAGACACAGGCAAATTCAATTTTTGGACGCAAGAGACAGAAATAAAGGAATGAGTTGCACCAGAATCAAATAGTACAACAAAAGGAGTCTCAGCTATGAAACAAGTACCTTGTATCAAATTTTCCGACCGAGCAGCTTCAGCACCACTAAGAGTAAATACTCTCCCTATATTCTTTGGACGCTCAATTTGCGAACCCGATCCAATAACACGTGTTCTTGATGGTTCAGGACATTGGGTGCTGATGTGACTTTTACCATTGTAGTTGAAGTAGGTAATCTCCTTGTCATGACACTCAGACTGATTATGACCAGCACGTCCACACTTCCCGCATCTTTCTAAAGGAGTGGACACAGACCCTCCAACACTTCTAGTAGCACTGACAGTGGATACTCTAATAAATGACTTGCTTTTATTAGCAACAGCTTTACTCCCTTGAAATCTAGTAGGAGCGGAGTAAGGCTTACTCCTACCTGAAGTACTAGAACTTACAACACGGATAAGACCTCCAACTCCTTTATAGAAAGTAGCACGAGCACGGTTGTCACGATCATAAATGCTGCACTTATTGACCAGAGTGGGAAAGTGATATATCTCCTGATAGTTAATTGCAGTCTATTCACTTCAAGACGCAAACCATTTACAAATTTTATGCATTTAGCTCTTTCACCACCCTCACCATGGTACTGTGTACAATAACGGACCAAAGCATCAAATATGGCAGCATACTCTGCCACTGTGTCGTTCCCTTGATTCAGTTCAAGGAATTCCATTTCTTTCCAACTCCTTACATCATTCGGAAAATACTTCTCAAGAAAGGCCTTCTTGAAGTTGTCCCAATTCAAGTGCACCCCTCCATCAATCATCCTTCGAAGTGCTCCTTCCCACTAAAAGTGAGCATCAGCAGTCAAGATGAAGGTGGCCAACTTCGCCTTCTGAGAGAGGGGACAATCCATAACATTGAAGATCTTCTCGATCTCCGTTAGCCAATTCATAGCAGCATCTGGGTCATATCCTCCTTTAAAGGTAGGTGGGTGATTTCGCTGAAATTACTCCAACCAGTTAGGAACGACTCCAGCACTATTGTTATTATTCATAGCTTGTGCTAATGCTTGAAGAGCATCAGCAATCGCACAATCATTTCTACCAGCCATAGTCTAAGAAAATAATACAATTAATAAACATAATCAATCATTACACTAGTATATCAACAAGTTCCACAATCAATTCAATCCATCATTCATCTATCAAATAAGCACAGTAAACTCATAACTCTCGGTCGATTGGATCGACCTGCTCTAATACCACAAAATGTGACACCCTCTACCCCAACATTAATACACAATAAATGTAAACAATAATTTTTTTCTCTTTCTGAGTAAATAAAATCTTTCATAATTGATAACCTCTTTCATGGATAAAATAATTGTCTAAAATATCATAAGGTAGAAGATTCACATTCGTAACTCATAAATCCTATAAAGTCAACATGTAAGTATTAAAACTCAAGAAATCATATAAAGAAAAATATAGATTAATTCCAGAAAGGTTCTTCGTTTTTATCAAAATAATATCTACTTGTGTAAGTTAAAAATGGATCGATTATTAATTCTTTGGTGCAACTTTTATTAACAAATCCTCTCATCAATCTATTATTATCAACTTTTGATATAAGAAATTTTCACTTTGTAACACCCCAGATTTCATAATTTATAATAAATAGTATTTTAGCAATTATTTTAATATTTGATATATTTATTTTAGAATTTTGAACATTATTTAATTTGTTCTATAAATTATATTTTATGCACGATACATGATTTTATGATTATTATTTTGATAAGTATTATGAAGGTAATTTTATGAAACGTATTTTATTTAACAATTTTTATGTTATTTGATTAAAAGGGAAGAAATGTATTTTAATTATATATATGTTTATTTTAAGGGAAGAGAGGACGTATTAGTCTTTTGCTAATTTCTATTGTTATTAATTATTTTATTAAATGATGAGAGGGGTTAAGGAAGTTATCGGGAGTTAAGTCATTTTTACGTAACCACTCTCTTGACTTCATTCCTTCTTACACTTCTGAAAAACAAGAGGAACCTGAAGAAGAGAACTGATCGGATTTTGCTTGTGCATCTTTGTCTGCTCATCAAGGTAAGGGGGGAGTGAGAAACCTCACTCGGGGGTGTGAGAATAATTATTGGGTAGCAGGATTAGCCCCAATCCCTTAACTGATGCATGCTTCTAGGAACAAGCTAAATGTGAAAGTTTTCTATTTGGATGATTGTTGTTTCTATTGTGTTCCTTGTTGAATGTTGAGTATGATTATGTGTTTAATTTTAAAAATAAATAAGTTTTGATATGAATTAGAGTGCTTTGTGGGTTCCTCTAGAAAACCCTATGAGAAACAATTAGGAATGTGATCTTATGACAATAATTGAGGTATTTTATGCGAAATTGAGTATGGATTCGTGTTCCGGGTGTTAATTGGAGTATTTGTACTGAATAAATTTTGCAAATATGTATTTATATGTGAAAAATCGCGTGATTGCAAAGTCTGGGTTTGTAGGTTCGCATTGGGGCACATGACACAATTCTTTGTGTCGGGTGCAATTCTTCGTGCCGGGCATAGGAAAGTTGAGCCAAACTCTGGAAAATTTTGTTGGGTGCAGGAAAGTTGCATCGGGCACAAGAAGCCTCGTCGAGTGGGTTTCTCCGCTTTAGGTGCAACATTAATTTCGCCAAGCGCACCAGGTGTGCTACTCTACTTTTGGTGCATCATTTAATTCGCCAGGCGCGAGTTGGGGTGCACTAGGTGCGACCCCGGTTCATGTTTTGCATGTTTTATATGCTTATAAATGGTTAATTAACTATGTGATGCTCAACTATTGATATGATGTGAATTACGTGCTATTGTGAATACTATGAATGTGAAAACTAATGTGTGTGATCATATGACTATGAGAATGTGAAATGTGATGATATGAGATAAGACATGAAATTCCATGACAAATAAAGTGAAGAGTCATTGACATTGTGAATGTGTGACATGCATCATATGCATTTATGTGACGGGGTACGATATAGAGTACACCGTTAGGGAAGGCCCTCCAGGTGTGAAACATCTTGGAGGAGTCCTAGGGGATAACGCGGTTTGGAAGACCCAGTTCTACCCGTTTGTGTGCATGGGACGTATCTTGGGTGGCTTCGCTATCCCGATGAGACCCTAACATTACATCTTTCTAGTTGAGAGTGCACGATTAAGCCTGCATGTACTCCTAGACTACTCCAGGTTTGTTACTTCGGCAACATACCATGTGATATATGATGAGATATGTGACTGACACCACATGCATGCATTTATGAGTCGAGTCCATGGTGTCATTGAATGATAAGTGATTATGTATGTGTTACTATTTTATGTATGACCTATGTGTGTGCCTTGATTGCGATTGCTTTGTATGTGTTATCTAATAGTTATTTTTGCACTTGAACCTGAGTGAGATGTTTCTCACTCCCTTGTTGTTTGTGTATGTTTGCAATTGTGTTGCAGGTGATCATCGACAAGAAGATGCTGGTGATGAAGTTTAGGCTTCGGTATTGGGCATGCTCTGATAGGACATGTGACACAGGGTATAGATAGAACTAGTTTAAAACTTCATTTTATTATTTCGTTTTGAAAAACCTTAGTTTTATTTCCTTTGCAAATTCCGCATTTGAACTACGAATTATGCTTATGAATGTGAATCCTTTACTCATATATTATTTGAGACATTGTTTAACTATGAAAATTTTTATTCACTCAAATATTGTTTAATCATTTATTCCATATTTATGTTTGGGGTGTCACATGTTTATCCAAGATGACAAAGTAATTAATATTCATTTTTTAAAGAGATTTTCATTGCTTAACTTTATATAAGTTGACTAAGAAATATAACATTCTCTATCCTTCAAAACTAAAATGTGACGTACAGAAGAACAATTCCATCTTTTGGTAATGTATGAGAAAGATGTTTTTCTATCTTAATAGCAAATTGTGTGTGAAGGTATTATTTTGCTATTTTTGCTTAGATGGTTCCTTCTACAAAAGGCAAACTAATACTACTATCTCTTTGTGAGAGGGTAAAATGCAAACTAGTTCATATTTTATACAACACAACTAGGACTATACATTACATCGAACAAAGATGAGATCAAAAGCAAGCGAAATTATTTAAGTGATGATGAATTTATGTCTCACATATGACAACAAAATTATTGAAATAAAAAAAAATATCAGAGTTATTTCAAAAAGTTATAATAAATTATTGATTCATCTTGAATCATCATCATTATTCACTTTACATTATGCAAGCACGACCGTTGAAGAAAGCGACTAACACAAGAGACTGACGAGAGACCGACAAACACGAGGGTGGCAAGGGCGGCAAATGCAAGGCTGAAAGGATTTATGATTTTAGGCAACCCGCTTGTGAAGGCTTAGAAGGAATAGAGATATGATTTCTGGAATGCTAGCGAATTAAGGATTAAAAATAATAAGAAAAAAATGAAATATTGAAAATGAAATCAAGAAAGGAATTCACGTTTTTTTTTTCCATTACTTTCTTAATTAAAATAAGTAAATTCTAAATATTATATTTTAATATGATGATAATTATAATTTTGTTTTAAGAGATATTTTGATAAATGTTAAAAAATTCTTATTTTAAATACAGTATTTAGAAGATACTTTTTTTTTATAAATATATCAGTATATATTAAAGAATATTAGAATCATATTTTAAAAATATATATAATAAATATATTCTTATAATTAAATTAATAATTCAATTTAAAGAACTCAATTTATTTAAAAAAATCTAAAAGCTTCTGGAATATTATTTAATAAATTTTCAAATGGTAAAATAATTCACTTAAATTAATTTAATAATTTTAGTGTAAATTAACAAGTTCTTAACAAATACATTATTATGATTAAATTTTTTAAAAACGTAAGTACAAATAAAAAGTTAAAAATAATTTGAAATGCAAAACTTATGAGTAATTTTGACGCTAATTTAAAAAACGTAGTAATTTGAATGCTAAATTAATTTAAAAAAAAATGAAAGTTATAAATAATTTAAAATATAAATTTTAGTGTAAATTAAAAAGTTCTTAACAAATATATTATTATGATTAAAAATTTTAAAAACGTAATTACAAATACAAAATTAAAAATAATTTGAATTGCAAAACTTATGAGTAATTTTGACACTAATTTAAAAAAACGTAGTAATTTGAACACTAAACTAATTTTAAAAAATGAAAGTTATAAATAATTTAAAATATCAATTTCAACTAATTATATTTTTCTCGTTTTAATAATATTATTTTAATTCATGTAATCAAAATAAACATAAAAATATTGTTTTTTAAAATGTAATTTAAAAATAAATTTAGATCAGTACAAGAGATAATTATAATTTAAGACAAACGAATATATGTGATAATTAATTAATGGAAAGCTTATAAAGCATAAAAATATAAAAATTAGTGAAAAGTTAAAAAATGATACTTTTTGCCCTATTGAAATTCGAAATGGAGACAATATAAATAATTTCACTTAAATCATGAAGAAGTTATATATTAATAATAACCTATAATCTAAAACATGTAATAAAGAAGATTGTCTCATTTGGTGTATATATTTTTAGATAATTTTATTCTTAAATTTTAAAATTATAAAAAAATAATATTAAAAATTAATCATTTTACAAATATAAGATTTGAATTCAAGAACTTTAAGTTTGAAGATCAAACACAATACTGATTAATCTAATAAACATTAATAATTTTTGAATATTTTTAAACATTGATAACAAACATTAATAATTTTATAGAGGTACGAAATGTTTCAACCCTACTAATATACCCTATTTTGGTATCCAATTTTTCAAAGACATAAAAAAATCCCTAATTTTATATAATTATGTCAAATAAAAAAAATATAAAAATAACTAAATAATTTTTTTTAAAATGGCAAGTATTGTTAATATTTGATTTTTAAATTGAGTACAAAAACGAGTATATACTTACTTGTCTTATACTTGTCTTTGTCCTTATCATACTTTAAATTTCTAGAAATTTAATTTAATTTTCTTAAAATTTATTTGAAATTTATGTAATTTTTACTCTATGTTAAAAAACAATTTTAGTATTTTTTTAATAAAAATATTTAATTAATTTTTAGAATAAATACGAGTATACTTGAGACAATACAGAAACAGAAATAAAACATAAATTTTATATCCATCAAATATAAAAATAAAAATAAAAATAAAATATAAATTTAGAGACGAAGACAAGAATATTAAAACTCACACTGCCATCCGTAGCGTCAAGAAGCAATTGTCAAAACAGAGGTTGGACTTTTGAACCAAGTGTGAACCAATACAGAGATCATGAAGCACATTAGCCAGTTGACCATCTATCATGTCGACCTTTTTATTAACCGTAACAATAGAAGCTTGAGTTTGGAACCATGTTTATCTCATTCACCGTGGTAACCCTTCAACAATCTTGTGTTTTTGAGTGCTCTTGCTGGTTTAATTCAAATCATTGAGCTTCTAACAAAAAATATAATTATATTTTCGTGTTATTATCTATTTTTTGAAAAATTACGACTATATGAAAATTAAATTTAAATCCCCTTGCTAAAATTTTTGTATTAATTTATTGTAAAGATATTTCTTATTATTTAAAATCAGATATTTATTTAATTAATATTTTATTTTTCTATAATTATCAATTTTATATCATTAATTTCTGCACACAAAATATGATAAAAAAAATTACTTAATAAATACCACCAAGTTAAGACTTTACAACAACCATTTATTTATTTATTTATTGGGTATGAGAATAGCAAAAAAGGGTGTGAGAAAAACGGTGCCCATCGACATGGCTCCGCATATCCAAGTGTTGTTGAGGCACACTAAAGCTATTCAGCCTACAACTCTACTCCTTGCAAGGAAATCAGTTTGGGCAATGAAAGGAAAACTTAATTTCCAAAATGTAGCATTTCAGTTAAACAGTATTAATCTCCATCATTTCAGGCATAACAAAGATTACACTCCGCAAATCTGTAACCATAACAAAAGCCATAAATATGTAGACACAATACGATCCTCTTGTTCAGTAAAGCAATCTCTTCTAGGACTGATATAGTGAATCCATCCATAAAGTGCTTCATTAAATAAATTCCTCTGGACTCGACTGGATCTTTTGCCAATATTCCAATGCCTGAAAAGATTTCTATGAACAAATGTCATTTTACAACTCCACCTTCACATATTGTTCTTCAATTCCTCAAACTTCTGAGCAATTGCATCCTGTTTCTTTTCTTTGTACACTTCAATCAATGACTGTATCGCACTAGATATCATTACTCTCTTTCGGTCTACAGTGCACTTATCTTGAACATCATTCGTCTCCTCAGCAGATGAGCATAATCCCTTGAACCAATCTTCAAGGATAGATGCTTTCTAAACAAGCAAAAAGAAAATTAAATCAAGGGAAATTTCCACCAAAGATTATCAGAGAAGAAAAAATCCCATGATCTGGAAGGAATTACAACATTCAAAAGACCAACTGAAATTGCAAATGCATGCTAGCTACACACATTGCAAGGATAAATGACAAAAAGGCAGGTATCAGCTTTCGTCCTGAAGACCAATATGTACAAGACAACCGTTAGGATATGCTGCTTTTTCTTTGATTATTTTTATACTACTGAAAATTATTGCACGAATGTTCAAATAAATACTGTATTCAGTTAGACTAATGATAACAAGCCATAGACACATGAATAGCTTTCTAGTACAAGGTGGAGTATAAGACTACAAGTACATACTACAGCTGTAATATAATAAGATCTGTAGTATGTTATTATTATGTACAATATATACTAATATAATATGTGCAAGTGAGAGTGTGAGAAAAACTAATTTTGACCATATACATACATGAAGGATTAAGACTAACTCTTCTGTCAATTATGCCATTCTATACCTCGTGAGTCTAGCAGAGTATTTGACCCATCATTTTTCCGGTTTCTCTTCAAAGAAATCGGGACTAAACACAATCCTGAGACTTGAGTAACTTTTATGCTAAAAAATATATAAAACTTCTAAACAATAACTACAGTTTTGAAAAAGAATTTTTAACTTTAAAATAGCTCTCAAGACCCAAAAGAGTTATGCTAAACATTACCTTAATCAACACTTCTTATTTTGTTACTTGAGTGAAATTAGTGGTAAGGCATCGGATAAAATAATGTCCAATGAAGAGACATTCGATATAATAATGCTGCAACAGATATAATTTTCATGGAAGAATTGAAAGCAAGAATAAATGTTAAACTAGAATTATGGAGGGCGGCTTTGGAATTATATGATTTTTGTTTAAGCAGATATAAAAAAGAGTATAAAGGATAAGGTAGTCAAACTTGAGAATCTAAGTAAACATGTGAAACTTATCTAAATTCAACTTGCGTTTACTTGTAGAAAATAAAATTACGATTATATTCCAAAAATAATGTATAAGCCTACCCCAGGTCACAAGAGACCGAGCCATAGATTACATGTATGCATAAGTAATCATTTGATTTGACTCCCATAAGTCGCAAGCTATAATGATGAAATTTTGTAGTATGGTATGTTAGAAGGATATAATGGTGTTTGTGTTGAAAGATCTATTAGCATTGCCCATAATCCAATTCAGTATTATAGTGGACTTATAAAATCACGTGTGCCTTCTGGGTGTCAACTGGCAAATATATTAACTACAGAATTTCACAGAGCGCTTTCGGTGATAGTGTATATGTTGTATAGGTTGTATTGTATGTACCATAGACCTGCATCTAGCATAGAGCTACCTCAGTTAGTTACGACAGCTGTCAGTTAGTTGGAGCTTGAGATCTCCGTATTCTGTAAATACCTTCTCTGTAATCAAATAAAATATAATAGGAAACATATTTCATATTACACTCTCTAGATTCTCTGTATCTTACATTTAGGATCTTTCTTGCAAGCTGGGAAATATATTAGCCAAGGAACATCCTTGTTTATATTTTAATTTGTAAAGATTTGTTTCCATATGATTAGTTTGTTTTATTTCTTGTAATTATGATAGCAATATTCTTTCATGAAAATACTTGGTCAGAATTAATAATCACTTGATACATATTTGTAATCAGTCTATATACAAGTATTTGTGAAAATTATTCATATTTTTCCTCATTTCAAGTACGGTATATCTTGGAGGTTGCCCCATCTCATGTTCATTTCAAATCTCCCAAACCATTTATAGAGAGATGTTTTGGCTATATATTGTAGTTTGGTTGTGTGAATAAATCAAGAGACAGAATTTTTTTCTCCAAACTGTCATCATTTATTGCTTTTGTACAATACCCACTGCAAAGTAATTTCATTCTTCCTGTGCTTATCTATAATTTTTTCATTCATGATAAAATACATACCTTCACTAGAAAATCTTTCAGCTGTTGATCATTTGTGCTCGAGGTAAAGCGTAGAATGTGTAACATTGTCAAGGTAAGCTGCACCAAGAACATGAAGAAGTTAAGTAATGACATAAAAGCAGCAGATCAACAGAAAAAAGTTACAACTCTATAATAAGAATACAATGCAAGTTCATTCAAATTTTAAATGGTTTTTAAATCAAGATTATTGTTAACAGAGAGAAAACATAGACATGCAAGATTCTGAAACCGTGTGTTTAAACGACACCACAGAGACATGTTTATATAGGCTTATTTCATTTAATGAGAAAACAACTTTTCCTAGACCAACAATACCCCTTAGTTTGAATCACAAATACCCAATATCATGCCTATTCATTGACCACTCCAAAATGATTAATTCCACATGTCATTAATGAATATAAAGAATGACCTGTTTTTGTAATGAAACCCTGTACTTGAAATTTGATGGCCCGGAAATTTGGTCCTCTTCTATATTCTCCATTAAATGCTCTATAGATTGAACAATCTCTGAGAAGGATGGGCCATAATCTGCAAAAATGCGAAAATAAGTTATTTTCAGATAAAGAATTTGAACTGAATGTAATCAGAATAGAATACTATGTATGCCAAAGTAGGTAAAATGGTAAGAGTAAATTAAGGTTTATGTACGGTATATTTTAAAATATAAGAGCCCATTTGATTCGCATGATAGGGATAAGGTCCAAGAAGAGTGCTAGCAATATACTTTCTATTATACTCATGTTAACAAACTCTCTTATTGGTTAAAATTCATTGAAAACTATAAAACCATAAGATTCATTAAACAGTGTGTGGAAAAAATCAAATTTTATAATTTCAGCCAATAAAAGAGAGTGTGTTCTTAACATTTTGCTATTATAGAAGTTTTTGATAAGGAAATCTATTTTTATTAGAAGTTATTATAATTGATTCTGTTTGGGAATTACAGTATTAGAAAACTATTTTCGGATTCGACTTTTTCTTTAATTAGCAAGATCAAGTGCGGAAGCAGAGTACAAAACCATGGCCCTAATGACTTGTGACCTTATTTGGTTCAAACAACTCCTTAGAGAGTTCAAATTTGAAGACGATGCAAATATCAATGATGTGATAATTAGGCTGCCTTACATATTGCATCCAACCTTGTCCTTCATGAGGACCACACACATTTAGGTTGACTATTACTTAATCAGAGGAAAGATTGGGACAAACGAAATCATCACTAGTTTCTTCAACTCTAGTGATAAACTAGGATGTCTTTACTAAATCTTTGAGGACACAGAATTAATTACATTTGCAACAAGTTGGGTATTAATGACAATAGGTACATATCATCATCTTAAAAAGTGAGTTTAGGCCTAGCTCAATCTTACAAAACCTATTTGTAAGGAGAGGGTATTCTTTCACTCATAAAATATTTTAGCCTTACCTTTGTGGGACTTAGGATTTTCAATACACCCCTCACACTATTAGACTTGGTGCGTGTATTGGTGGGTGAGCCTTATAATGGATCTAGGATAGCTTATGTTGTGAATGTAATTAGTCAGTTCATGCATGACCCCCAAAAAATGCATATGCACATAGTTGACAGGATTCTTTAGTACCTGAAGTCAAGTCTAGGAAAGGGATTACTATTCAAAAGAGGAGACACCATGTCTATGGAGCTTTATACTGATGTAAATTATGCAAGGTCAGTCACAGATTGGAGATCTACTTCTGGATACTACATGAGGACTAAGCAACAAAATGTAGTTGCTTGGTCTATTGCAAAAGTTGAATTTCAAGCCCTGGCATAGGGTAATATGTGAATGGCTATGGATGAAGATTATTGAGACAAGCTTTGTCTACCTATGGAGATTACTAAATTTCTAGGAAAGCTTTGTTTACCTATGAAGCTGTTTTGTGACAACAAGTTAGCCATCACCATTTCTCACAACTTGGTTCAACACAACATGATGGACCATGGGCCAAGGGTCCAATCACTAGAGCTATTACCAGGAGCATTCAGGAAGGATTGGACAACTTGAAGACCAATGGGTTTTCTAAGCCCAAGGTTCTCTTCATTTGGACCACTCTATCATGCCGAGAAGGCATAGTTCTTTTGTATATAAATTGTATATAGTTTTAATTGTATAGGTAAATTTTTGAATTTGTATTTGTGAGACACTTTATTTCATTTTATAGATCATTGTATAGTGAATTTAGAGTAGGTTCTTTGGAGACTACTCCATTTGACCTTGTATTAAAGGTCACCAATTTTACATTTTTCAGTAGTAGAAGTGGGGTGACAAATAGCAAGACTTGAAGGTGTGATTAGTAATTGGGCCAGAATTGGACCTAGGCAAAATTTTACATATTGAACTTGTTTTACTCCATATTTTTCAAGGATTTGATTTAGCTAGATCTTATTATTTTTGGATGAACCTAACTAAACCAAATTAACAATTTTTGAAATGGATTAAGTGAGCAAATTAAGTCCAAGGCCGCCTAGCTTTCTTAGTTCTCTTCTTGGCCGAAATTGCTTCTCCTCCTTTGGAGTCTTAGGAAGCTTGTGCTACAAGCTTCTAACTTAGCTTGCTTCCCAAGCAAGCTAAGATAGAAGCTTGCTCCACAAGCCTCCTAAACTAGGCTGGCCGGTCAAGCAACCAAACCATGGTTCTCTTGAACCATGGTTAAGGTTAGCTTGTTCCCTAAGCTACCTACTTCTATAAATTTGTAAACCTCTCATTTTCTCCCACTTTGGATGAATAAACTCATAATTTTCTCTCAAAATTCTCTCTTCAAAAGCCTTAGAAACCATGGAGAATCCTTCTCTACCTAGGTTCCTTCACAAAGGAGTTCCTCCTTTGTGCCTTGGTGCCTTACTCTTCTAGCTTCTTGAAGAAGTTACCGAGCCTCCTTTGTTGCTTCTTCCACCATTGGAGCGTCTTCTTCTTCATCATTTTCAGCCATTGGAGACCTCAAGAGTTTGCTTGGGACGTGAAGGTGAAGAGTGAACGAGAGCAACAATCTTCTTCTTCAACCTCTTCCATCATGACAAGACCAAACATATTGAGATAGACAAACACTTCATCAAAGATAAGTTAGATAATGGTGTCATTGTTATAGCTCACATCTCTGTAGGACTACAAGTGACGGATGTACTTATTAAAGGACTTCCTACTAGTAGATTTGTAGATTTCAAGAGTTGATAGACAAGTTGGGAATAATTGATATTCATTTATGAACTTGAGAGGGACTCTTGTAAAAAAGGAGTATTTTAAGAGATTTGATATTATTTTACAATCTTTCTTTATTTCCTTTAATTTTGTAGTTACTCTTTATTTAGGGACAAATGTATCTCTATAATAAAGTAATATAAGAATATAATTTGTGGGATACAAAATAATAAATTCACCACTTTAAACTAATACGCATTGTAAACAGAGTAACTATCTCTAATAGGTGAAAGCAGAAATAAGATGTTGTATATAGGAGTGTCTTAGGAGATTTAATATTATTTTATAATTTTTCCTTATTTCCTTTATGTTTGATTTTCATAGTTACCTATTTTAGGGACAAATGTATCTTTATAATAGGGTAAGAGAAGAATGTAATTAATAAGAAACAAATTAATAGTATCCTCTCTTTCAACTCAAGATAATAAACCAATACAAATTCATTCTAAGAAAACAGTTACCTTGCACTGACACTGGCACAGCTAACGCTGCTGCAGCTTGTATCCTGATTTTAAAATTTGATGAATCACGTAATAGTTGCAGAAGAATACCATACACAACTGGAGACCTGCAGAAAGGAAGAACAGAGAATTGTTCAATAGTTTGAATTTTTATGTTACACACGTAACAAATATGAACATGATATCTTCATGAAGAGAGCCTATAAAAAACAACAGGACCGAAAACAATGCAACAAATGTCGTTTATCCAATGAAAGTGAAATACATTCAACCAAAGTACCACTTTTTTAATACTTCACTCAAGGACAATACTAGAATTGTAGTAAACTTCACAAACCAGCAATCAAATCTTGTACTCGTGTATATTTCTAATTTAGAGAAGTTTCATCTTCATATTAAATGAAAGGCATGACTTATGTCTAAATTTGTGGGTTTCAGGTAGATAGGGAGGAAGAAATATAAAAGGTGATGAAACACAGTTGACATTAAGGCTAACCAAACTAATTGGAGTGGGGGGTTTAGGCCTTTCTTACAGTATCTCAATCAAATTGGAGTTATTCATAGGCTTATTTTTCTTAACACTAATCATCAAAATTGGGTAGTTGAATTGTGTTTCTGTTGATTCACTAATAATCTCATTGATAAACATATGATTAGTACACAAATAAGAATAACCTAATACAAACACTCTTT